GCTAAAACACATGGGGGTAAAAGTAATTTAAAATGTTCAAGACATATTAAATGCACAACTGTGTCTCCAAATTGCCATTTAGTATGCTGTATATTGTAGGATATAAAATCTACTTCCCTGTCTATGGAGTGTTAAGCTGACCCCAAGACAATAAAACCTCCCCTATTTAACACTCCATTATTTCTTGCTCTTATGCAGCAAAATATAGACAACCAGCAAATGATTTCATCTCTTAAAAATAAGGATTTGTGTTGTAAAAAAATAGGTGAATGGGCAGAAGTGGGGCGGATCCCTCCCTTAAATGTTTTCCAGTGCTACCAAAACACTTAATTTACAAATTAATTGATAAAAATAGTCCTCTGGATAGCAAATATGTGTGTGTGTGTGTGTGTGTGTGTGTATATATATAATATAATATAATTATATATAATTATATACATAATTATATATATAATATATATGTATATGTATATGTATATGTATGTAATAAGGCACTAGATACCACTGATAAAGTATATTCTATTATTGAGAGAGTTTTTCTCAACTGCTTCATCAGAAGCTGAATTCTCCTTGTTTTAGTTTCACCTCTGTATGTAGGTAAATCATTTTTTCACTTTTGTTTGCACTTAATAAAGTTTTATTCTTTCCCTTTTTGGCCTTGTTTGTACATTTGGAGAGGCAGGGTGAGCTGACACACTTGCCTGTATCTTCCTGAACTCCCCCTTGATGGCTGCTTTGGTGCAGTTAACACTTCTCAGGGGCATGTTGGCATCTGGCATGCATGCAGTGTGCCTGTGAGCCCATGAGCTCAGATCTTTCTTGACTCTGCTGCTTCTCTAGCCAACAGAGTTGCTGCAACTTGCTGGCTAGGACTGTAGAAGAATCAAATGATACATTGCATTTTCTTTTTCTATAGTTTTCATTAGAATTACTTGGTTCCTGAGCCCTCCCTGGTGGTGCAGGGTGTTTAAGCACAGCGTTCTGAAGCTATCTACAGCCACTGCAGCATAAGTTCGATCCTTCATCAGGAAGCTGACCCATAGGGCACGACAACCTTTCCTGTCTCATCCATTGCTCCCCTCAGCAGTGTGTTTCAGTCCATCTGCATGTTCTGCTCCCTACTCTGTCTCTGGTGAATCCTTGCACTGCCCCGCCCCCCTCCGCACCCCCACATACACACACAACTCTGGCCTGTATCCCAGTTCTTGTATGAATAAATAAAGTCTTTAAAAAAAAAAAAAAAGATCTTGGTTACTTAGATAAAATAGAAATGACTCCTATGTAACAGAAGGTTCTGGTTGTTCACTCTTATGTGCACCTTCCTTCTTCATTCATCCCTTCCACACAAATACATTTAATACAGAACCTTCCACTGGCAGAATAACAGCTGAAAGCTGGTTTGCTGAATTGATGATTACCCAGTAAGTTGTATAGTTAAGGTTCTGTCAGGCACACCTTTGAGGTTGACATTCTGATAGCTGGGATTCCGAGAGGCCACTGTCAGAAAAGCAATGTGAATAGAATGGAGTGCTGTTTTGATTTAATGCCACTTAGTTTACCTTCATAAAAAAAAATATGTCATTTTCACATTCTGAAATGTGTTTTTATAGAATATTATCTAAGACCTTAAACTAGTTGAGGGATGTTTTTTTAGGTTCCACCTGTATGAACAGCCATCTTTAAGCTGCAGCTGACATGTCATCCAGATTCCAAACCCTTTTAAACACCCATTGTGTTTCTTTCTGAAATCCAACATTTTTATGTATGAAAATGGGAATGTTGCCATAGCAGTTTTACCATGATAGGTGCAAAAAGGTGCAGCTACAACAAAAATTACCTGAATTATTGTGGACATGGATGGTCACTTTGTCTGCTATCACGTACTCTGTCTAATAATACTATTATCATTTCCTGAGAATGTTAAGAAAAGTGTCAATGAAAAACATCCCATGTGTGATTTACTAGTCAAGTAATTCTTCCAGTTTTTAGCTGACCAAATTTCTCTGCCAAACCAACTATACCCAGCCTGTTTGCAGGCACTGTATTTCTGAAGCTGAGTATGGGTGTTTTTTTAGAATGAATTTCTTCCTTTCTTTATATGAAGCGTCACTCTTTATTGTAGCGCTCTGCATCCTTTTACATGTCCAATCAAATCTTTCTTTATCTGTCCTTTTTGTTGGCGTATAGACCAGTAGATGGATTCTGTTATCACAATATGCTTCCACTTTGATTCTATACTTATTAACCTGCCAACACTATTTTCTTTTGTTTCTTTAGCATCTGTATAACCTCTTATGAATTTGAATACTTGAATGTTTTATGTCTTGTCTAACTCTATGCTCTCCTAGTAAATAATTTAGTAACTCTTAAAACTATTCTATTGGTAATACTCTATCATATAATAGATAAAATATGTATTAGGCATCTCACCAGAAAAGTTACTTAGAAAGCTCTTAAACCAAAAGCGTGACAGACTTCTTACAATTATATGAGAGCTATTCTGAACCTACTATAGCAGAAAGCTGAAATATTCTTGGATTCACATGACACTGAATTGCAGAATTAACCAACTCTAAAAAAACTCCTTCTATGATAGGATTTATTATTTCAAATGTGAAATGATAAAACCTTAGGGTTTAAGCTACTATTAGTAGTTACTTAACTTACACCTAAATACTTTTAAATGATGTGCAGTATAGTAAGGATGAAAAATAAATACAAAATAGCTGACTGAGGAAAACAGATTGCTTAAAGTTAAACCACTAACCTCTGGAGATGTTCAACATTGTGAATACAGCTTATTCTGATATGCTTCAAAAGTATTCTCTTGTAAGTGGTATATAAGCAATGCAGGTTGAAAGAATGTAGGTTTATTGACTTAAAATATTGATTAAATCCACTTTTAAAATTTTACAATATTCCAGTATTAATTAAGGAGGTTGAATTTCAGTGAACTCTACCATTCGCATACTTTTGAATTTGGGAAAATTCCTTAACTGCTGGGTTATAGTTTTCTCATATTGAAAAGGTATCATGGCAATTTCTGGGATACAATGTATGTAAATAATTGATATTTTTCCTTACACAGGACAAGGGCTCCAAACTCCACCTAAAGAAAACAGGAAAATTCAAGATTCAATTACTTTAATGATTTTAAACTTCTAAAATTGTGAAAAAGTATTTACACCTACCTAAATAACCTTATTGCTCCACATTTTAGCAAAACCTGTCCATGTACTCTTCTGCTCAGTTAGCACATTCACCTCCTTATCCATATGGGCCACAAATGCCTGGACATATCTATAATATCAAGCAGTTTCCTGATGTTTTAGGTCTTAAAATTGTCAAAAATACCACAGAACAAAAAAAAAAACAAACAATTATTTCCTAGAAAATTATGAAAGATTTAGTTATTGATGACTTATTTTTCTAATATAAATAAAAATTTGTCATTTTTAAGCATTAATAAGCATTTATTACTGAAAATAATTATTAAGTTTAGTACTGCAATATTCATACTTAAGACACTTTGAAATCACTATATGTTTCTCATGATTAATTTGGAATAATTTTCTTAGATAAATAATTCATAGTATTACATTAATTTCATATTAATATATGAACTATATTATCAACTTTGATATTTAGATCTACCCATGAATCCTTGCATGCATAT